GGGTTTGTGATTGTTGACACTATTCCCTCCCTTCTCCATCCTACTCCCATTGAACGAGCCGATTGTCAATTTGTCATTCTGTGGCCTACCGTCACCCCTTACTGGCCCCGTACTCTATGTTTTGATTGTCGACGCAGTTACAGCTAAGGGAAAGAGGGTTCGACTATGCGTCGTGTGGAGAAGTTGCGGAAAGAGCCGTGTGTCTGCACCCCTCTGATTTCCACTTAAGCTCTGCGAGACACGTTGTTAGACTCTTGGCCAGAGCCGAGATCCTTCGTAGGCTCCGGCACGCAATGAAACACCCGCGGACGCGTCCGCGGGGCTGATCTCGGATGGCGGCCGCATATGCGGCCGCGTCCGTGGCCGTCCTGGTCCGCGCCGCGGACCCGATTTTACCAGAATTTTTTCGAATTAAATAATAGGTAAATATATATATGCATATATGTATATATATGTACATATTATAGCCTCCTGATGAGTCGGTGAAACTCCGACGAAACAGTTTGTCACAGCCCCTCGTTTGTTGTCCTCTTCTCTCTCTCTGCCTACGGATTACCGGGCAGTTCTGTTTGTGACGATATATATATACAGTTTGTCACAGCCCCTCGTTTGTTGTCCTCTTCTCCCTCTCTGCCTACGGTTTACCGGGCAGTTCTATTTGACGATATATATATATATATATATGTATATATATTCTGTTTGTGACGATATATATATATACGGGGTTGTAGGGAATTTTAAGCCCTACAAGCCCTTTTTTTTTTTTTTGGAATCCGACTTTGTTTAGGATTTTTTAAAAATTAAAAACTAAATTGGATTTAAAAAAAAAAAAAAAAAAAAAAAAAAGTAGGAACTCTGGTTTCTTGAAATAATTTCTCAAACTTTTTCGAGCCATACATCCTTGCTAAACGTTTCTCAAACTGTGGTTTGGGATTCTGATTCGAAAATCCTTTTGGATATCTAAACTTAAAATTCGTATAATTTATTGTGAATTTTTCCACTCAATAGTTTTCCTGCTCATTGACCGTATGGTCTTGATTTTTTCTTGATTTCTGATACAAACTCGTTTTTCTTAAATCATCCTTGGAATTTACATCCCAAGATCATGCTGTCGTAATCTGATCCTATTGCATCTTAGTGCATCGTATTTTCACTCAGCTTTGCCTAATTTTCACTCAGCTTTGCCTAGGATGATATGATGGAGGGAAAGGACGCGCTCTGTGGGATAGGGCTAATTGCAGAGTGGAATTAGGGCATAGCAGCAGGGAGATGGTGGTTCCACTGCAGTAAGTCTTGTCGGAGTAGGGTTGGGTAGGTATAGGTGGTGGACCTTCTTTAGGGTGTTTCCCCTAATGAGATGTTGTTCGTACGAGGGGTGGGGCTTGGTTTTACTCCCTATGGAGAAGATCCAAGTCCTTGCTCCAAGAAGGCTGCGGGATAAGAGGGGGGAGGGGGGGCGACCGAGGGGGGACTGTGGGTTTTGTGAGTAGGTCAGAAGGAAGGGGCTGGGACGACGCAGGCCGGTGCTGGGGTGGTTTTGCTCTGTGACCCGGAGAGGAGCATGAGGCTGAAAATCAAGGCTATAACTGCAGTTCCTTCTTTTGAGACCACACCTCATAGACATACCTGTTGTTGCAAAACTTGTTCCTCCCTCCCCTCACCGTACGATCCTTTTAACAGAAAAAAATCCTATAGGTAACCCAAAGCTACCATTTTATCCATTGTCCCCCCCATACCAATCCATGTCCACCAAAGCCCGAGGTGAGGGAGGGAAAAAATCAACAAATTCTGAAGCGGGTCAAGTCGGGAAAGAGGTAGTTTTCTCCAATAGTTGCGGGGAGAGTGGGTGGTTGTTTGGTTGTGCAGTCCATACTAAGGTTCTTTGGTTCTGGATCCTTGGTAGCACTTAGCCCTTACCTGTAACTGGGGTGTCGGAGTTCAGAGACGGTCACAACGGGACTGACATCCGAATAGCTTTTTTGTTCTGTGCCCCTTTTTTGCCGATGCCAGAACGACGCTGGCCGGAGCTGGGGCGTCGCCCTGTGACCTGCAATTTGCAGGAGTATGAGGCCTTGTAGAGAGATTTGGGGTTTGCCGAGGGTGGAAGGCAAGCCAGTGGCGAATCGGGAGGGGCTGCGTAGTGGCGAGAAAAGATCAGCTATGGGTGATGTTGGTATGGTTGGTACTGTCCCTRAGTAMGTATGTCCCGGGGAAAGGAGGGCTAGGAATTACCTTAGGAGTCTAGTTCCAAAMAAAWWTTCATAGAATYTCTCAAAATTTTCAAAAAACGTTGCAATCTGTTCTTAAAAAAAGGGGGGTAGTCTGTTTTGTCCTAAAAATGTCTTCTGGATTCTGGGGATTCCTGGCAACTTTGTTTAGGTGGTACCGAGGCTGTTATACTCGGTGACCTGCGGCTGTTCGATGCCAGAACGACGCTGGCCGGTGCTAGGGTGTTGCCCTGTAACCTGCTGATGCAGGAGCATGAGGCCTGGTAGAGAGATCTGGGGGTACTTTGGGGGGGCATTCCATGGGACAACCAAGGGTTGCTGCTGGGACGACGCTGGCCGGAGCTGGGGTGAGTTGTGTTGCCCTGTAACCCAGCAGGATGAGGGAGTGTGAGGCCTGGAAGAGCTCGGCAGGGAGTAAGACAGTGTTGGAGAACCTTGGAAGGTTTTGTTAGGGATTTCGCGGGTTTAAGGGCATTTGCAGGACTTCGGCAGGCTATTCCCATACCTTCCGAATAACTGTAAGTTTTCTCA